CTATCTATCTATCTATCTATCTATCTATCTATCTCTGTCTATATCTGTATATATACATAGATATAGACAGAAAAAGTGTGTATACATATATATATAGGTGTGTGTAGGTTTGTGTGTATACATTGTTGTATGTGTATATGTGATATATATATATATATATATATACTTCAGATAGATAAAAAGATGATAGAAGATAGATAGATAGATATCTCAGTACTCCATTTAGCTTGAATCTCTTGTCCTTTTCACAATTATGACTGTGCCACTTTTTCAGTATTTCAGAGCCTGCAAATAATCCCACATTCATGTACATATGACAGTGGAGGGCACTTTGACAATGCATCCTGATCTGTGTGTTTTTAATCCACTTGGAGTCCAGGCACTGTAAATAGTATTGGCTCACTGAGGGAATGTAAGGATTTGTATGAAACCCCCTAATTCCCAAATGTCTCTAGGTCCTATAAGCAACTGAGATTGACAAAATAGAGCTCCTATAGAGACCTCTCCTAATTCTGCAAAAGAGAAAAGGGAAGAGTTGCTTGGTTAGCAAACATGCACATAATTAGCTTTGTCAACTCAGAAAACTAAGAGCCAGAAAGTTAATATCTTTCATTTTTCTTAGTACTATTACCATCTGGATTATATTTTTAAGTATCATAAGGCATTTGAAGAGAGTAATTGTCTCTAAATGTTATCCTTTTAAAATCATTAAAATATATACAGTCAAAGGTCTGTATGGAATCAAGACAGACACAGGCGTTGACTATGTGGGGGGTAGGGGGAAGGTTTCACTTGAAGATATGCTATTATTTGGCTAAATTTTCAAACTATTATTTTGAAATTTTCTGTGACTAATAACTGTTTACTCATGTAATTTTTCCCAATGAATGTGTCATTCTTTTTTTTTTTATAATGAAAGTAATATGTATGTGGTCATTACTACTACTCTGTATGAAATTGAGATCATACTACATTTATAACTTTTTCTTTTTCCCCCATATTATAAATGTTATTGCTGTTTACTGACTGTTGCTTTATTTAACACTGTGTCACAGGCACCTCCATAGGTAGATCTAACAGGTTCGAACACATTTACTTTCTCATTGCCTGGCGCCTGGGCGCTATCTCTCAGCTCTTCAGCTCAAGGTGAGCGCTCTACCACTTGAGCCACAGGACCACTTCTGGTTTTCTGGTGGCTTATTGGCGATAAGAATCTCATGGACTTTCCTGCCCGGGCTGGCTTAGAACTGTGATCTTCAGATCTCAACGTCCTGTGAGGCTTGGATTACAGGCGTAAACCACCAGTGCCTTGCCATGTCAGTTTCTTAATGGATTTTCTTATCATTCCCAATGTTGCAACAATTCCCTTACCAGGGAACTGAGAGAGTCATACTGTTTAGAGTCATACTGTAATGTGGTCCTATAAAGTATCTGTAAGTCAACAACAAATTCTGTCCAGAAGATGAGATGACTTCACCTTAGAAGGGCCCACCTTATCACAACTCTTTGGGCTGGGCAGAGAGAACCTGTCTTGTCTACCTGTGGTGGGCAGTGTCTTAGGAGCAATCAGAGGCATGTTCTGGAAGGAGATCATGCTGAATGTCAGTTGGGGAATGATCAGCTAAAACTTCAGAGAAAAGCATGCTAGCTTGACTTCCTTGTAGAACAACTTCTGAGTTTGACAAGATAGCAGTTAATGAATATAACTGGCAAGCTTTGTAATGATTGTTTTCTAGCACCAATAGCAAAGGAATTTTTAAATAAACCTGAGTCAAAATTTTGCTGCTTCCGTATTGATGGCCCGACACTTTTTTTTTTTAATTTAATTTAATTTTATTTGTGAGCATACTGTACAGAGGGGTTACAATTACATGGGCAGGATAATGCGTACATTTCTTACCAAGCATTGCAGCCTCCTCCTTTGGTTTACCCTTCACATCCCTTCCCAGCCTCCCCCCTCCCCCCCAATCCCAATCCTTCTCCTTCCCCCCCCCCCCACCGACGTTGTAAAGCTCGTTTTGGACATGACAACTTGTACTTCTCATTGTTGCAACAGGTCCACCTGTATCCTTAAACAACTGGTTTTTCCCCATCTCCTCCACAAGTTATACTGACATCAAATATAGTGAAAGCAGGGGTTATACTGTGGGGGAGGGACATACAAAGCAACAAAGAGATAATCTTATAAATGCGTTAGAAACACATGCATGAAAGAAAAAAACATTAAAATACACATCTAAGGGTTCATTTTCCTGACATCACATTATCTGACCTTTTCCGCTTGACTCATACATATACTAGATATTGCAAATAAGGGAAACCATGGGACCTATGTTTCTTTGGGCCTGGCTTACTTCACTTAATATAATTTTTTCCAAGTTTTTCCATTTGGCCCGACACTTTTTAAGTGCACTTAGCTGGGCGCTGGTGGCTCACGCCTATAATCCTAGTTACTTAGGAGGCTGAGATCTGAGGATTGTAGTTAAAAGCCAGCCCAGGCAGTAAAGTCCGTGAGATTCTTGTCTCCAATTAACCACCAGCAAACCAAAAGTGGCGCTGTAACTCAAGAGGTAGAGTACTTACCTTGAGCTGAAGAGGTCAGGGTAGCACCCAGGTCCAGAGTTCAAGCCCCTCAACTGACCCCCCCCCCCAAATAAAAAAGTTGGCTTAAAAGTATAACATGTAAGAGGACTTTCGTTTATCAATTGTGCAAAAGAAGTGAATTTGAATTTATAATATATAAATATTCCTTAATGTTTCCTATCTTATTAAAGAAATTTATTTCAACGTATACATCATTTAAATGTTAAAAATACTGCATCTCAATAAGTTTTATCTTTAGTGTTAATGTTTTTAGCTCTCAGATCATCATATAGTTCCTTCTCCAAGGCTACCACAGTTGTTTCTGCAATTGATCAGAGAGACAAGCACTTGATCACAGCCTTGGTTTCACTGTGATGCTAATTGACCTAGAGCAGGTTGGGAACCCTGAGTATGGAGTCAATACAAAGCTGCTGGTATCAGATAGTTCTCAGTAGTTATGGAGAATATATCCTAATAGAAATCCATGGATCATGGGTACAGGACCTAACAAGGTAACCAAACATTTAAGATAGAAAAGAATGTCTCTCTCTCTAAGTGTTGTAGGATTTGGATAGATCATTTCCTATCATCCATGTTACCTTGCTTTTCGGAGTGCATTGAAACTGGATTGGTACCCATGAGTGCTAGACTAGCAACGACAGCTCTTGAGTCACTTAACTACTCTGAGTTCGTTTCTAGATCTACAGAATTAAGTTCACATATCATTAGCCTATAGAATTACTGGGAGGTTTCAATGAGATGACAAATAAAATGTTTAAAAGTTCAGTTTCAAAGACATGCTGATCGTTCTCTAAGAAAACTTTAGAATTCTCTCTGAATTTTCATTAGAATTAAAAAGATACACAGAATGGTAACAGAGTAAGGAAAAGGTACTGAAATATGAACCATGATGGAATCAGTCCAATATTATCAATGTTTTAGCTACAAAAAATTTTCTATGTCCTTTATCTCATTAATTTCTCATAAAAATTCTGTGAATCAGACAGGCTAATTGTTAAACCTGAGTAAGAGGAATTAAATGGATTGAGCCCTCATGATTATCTTGCAATTCTATAATGGCGTGAATTATTTTTATCTTATAGTCGAGTGCTTTATACTGTGTTCTAAGCTACCTGTCAGAACCATGCAGCTGACAGAGAGTTGAAAGTCTAATGGATTCCACAGTTGTATCTGGAGACCCTATATGATCCTTAGGAAAAAAACACAACATTTAAATAATAATAGTAGGCCTATTTGGAGGGGAAGGTACATTTTAAGACAATTGACATGCTGAGGACCATACTAAACATGCATTTCTTGCATGATTTGGACCAAAGGAGTTGTGTTTCTAACATCCGACTCACTCTGTTGTTAGCACTTTCTGAGCTGAAGTTAACTATTTGGGGAGAGTCCCTTCCAACTTTGGTGAACGGGCTGGCATGTTTTCTGTTGGCTAACATATTTCTTAAGGCCTACAAATAGTTGTCTTTATCCTTTGGTTGATATTGGACTACTTTTCTGTTTTGATATAATTTGTGCTAGTACACACAGCTTGTGTTGCCACTTGAGAGTATAAAATCTCTCAAAATGAAGAGTGTATTATATCTCCGTACTCCCAATGCCTGGCTAACAACCTGACACAATAGTTTCTCAATAAATGCTTGGTGCTGTTGTTTCAGTTGTTTTGAGATACGATTCAGTATTAACATCTTAGGAAAAGAAATCATCATATGAAAGAGGATGGGTTTAGAATAAGCAATAACTGCTCCCTTCCTCTCTGGCTGTCACTGAACTCTTGGGAATCTATAAAGACAATTAATTGCTAGGAAGATTAGAGTGTTGCAGAACGTATTAACAATTACCACATCCACTTGAAAGCAAGAGACAGAAAAAAAAGGGTCCTGACTCTCTCTAACATAAACGCAAGTCTATGGAAAATTGAGTCTAAGACCAGAACAGATTGAAACGCTCAACGAGGAAAAAAGAGCTTCTGGGCTAATGTTGTATTTCTTATTTCCAAAGAATAGAAAAAGAGCATCTTGTTTAGTCCTCAGAATTATAGTGATTTACTTTCAGCTTAAACAAGCATCACAAACAAATACTGGCAGGCAAAGGGCCCTTTGGGAGCAGCCAAAGAAATCTGTTTTCGTGTCATTCCAAGTTCTCTGGTTTGGCTGAGCCACAGAAAAGTGGAACAAAGACTTAAGGATGGCTTCATGCTCAAGACTAAGTGGCTCTTAGGGCTCCGGGGCTATTTATAGCACGTTGGCTGATGCTAAGGACTTCCTGCTCTATTCAGCATCATGCACATGGCAGCTCCAGTACGGAGGCACAGACTCTTGGAGGGTGTGATCAAGGGGGAGACTTTCCAGACGGTTGTGTTTCTCATCTTCTTCATGTGTACATTCTATTTGTAGATGTTATGAGGTCAGACTCATCAGAGATGACTGATGTGGAGTCTGGGATCAACACCTTTGCAGCCTCAGCCAGGACTGGCCGCCGGAATGCCTTACCTGACATCCAGAGTTCATCTGTTACCGGCGTGAATTCTGATTTGCCCCTGAAGCTGGCAGCTCTCGCCATGAAGGAAGGTAAGGCTTCCAAGCCTCGTTAACTAAGTGTGCACTTCTCTCTCTTAGTTAATCCTTTTTTTTTCTAGAACACTCTGGCATACAGTGCTTTATGTTTCTTGTGGATTTAACGTATCCCATGTTTTGCATAAGGTTAAGACCTTTCAGCATTTCTGAGCTAGGCATTTTATCTATCTATCTATCTATCTATCTATCTATCTATCTATCTATCTATCTATCTATCTATCTATCTATCTATCTATCTATCTATCTATCTATCTATCTATCTATCTATCTATCTATCTATCTATCTATCTATCTATCTATCTATCTATCTATCTATCTATCTATCTATCTATCTATCGCAAGTCCTGGGGATTGAATTTAGGGCCTGGGCACTGTCCCTGAGCTTCTTTTGCTCAAGGCCACTTGAGCCCACAGCACCACTTCTGACTTTTTTTGTTCATGTGGTTCTGAGGAATCTAACTCAGGGCTTCATGCATGCTAGGCAAGCACTCTACATTCCCAGGCCATTTGTGGAAATGGATGTCCTATTTCTTTATCACATGTGTTTAGTAGTGCACAGGGCTCATGGAAATACAAAATGATCCTTTTCTCAATGAGATTATGCAATGTTTTTGTATTTTTCATTGTAAAGATGCTGTACAGAGAGGTTACAGTTACATGAGTGAGGTAATGAGTGTAATTCCTATTGAGCGTTGTTACCCCCAAATCACACAATTTTTTGAGAAGCATTCCAAAAAGTAATTGCATCCTGGTAATTGCATTGCAAATAAACCTTTGGATAAAAGGTGATCATTTTTCAAACAGTGGGAAAAGTTGAATTAAGAAAATGAGAAAGTTGTGACACCAGCGAAGGAAGGTCTATAATTCTTGCATGTAGTTCATTTAACTCCCTGGGTTGTCCTTAGTCTGAAAATAAATGAAAGAGTACTTCAACAAAATCAAAAGTGCGTTTGTATGTATATGCAGAAATGTAATCCTGGGGGGAACAAAGCAAGAGAAGGCTAAAAGCTGGAACACCTCTATTCTGTTCATGGCACCATGGGAATAAGGCTCTTGACTCTAAGTTTCAGGAGATTATTTACTACCTGATAAAGCTACAAATGTCCCTGGCCTGATGTCTATGAAATACTTAGATCCTTGTTAGAGTGGGACCATGATCAAGTTCTGGAGTCTTCTAGTAATTTCACTTTCCTCTAAAGACCATTGCATTTCTCATATGGGACACAAATGACAGTAAATAAAAAGGCAAGTATTTTTTTTTTAATTATAAGATGAACGAAAGCCAGGCGCTAGTGGCTCATATCTGTAATCCTAGCTACTAAGGAGGCTGAGATCTGAGGATCATGGTTCAAAGCCAGCCTGGGCAGGAAAGTCTGTGAGAGTCTCTTATCTCGAATAAACCACTGAGAAAAACCGGAAGTGGCATTCTGGCTGAAGTGGTAGAGTACTAACCTTGAGCTGAAGAGCTGAGGGGCAGCGCCCAGGCCGAGTTCAAGCCCACATTCCAAAAAAAAAAAAAAAGAACAAAACATATGGAAGAGCTAAAGAGAAGACAAGAAACAAATATATAATGCTTTTGACCTTCTAAATTTGCAAGGAAAAAGTCAGAAGTGGCACTGTGGTTCAAGTGGCAGAGCACTAACCTTGAGCATGAAGAGGCTCAGGGTTGGCACCCAGACCCTGAATTCAAGCCCCAGAACAGGAAAAAAAATGCTTACTTAAAGATTACATAATTTAACCCCCCAAATGAAACTTTAATGCTTACTGCCATTACTGAGTTAAGCAAGAAGGAGCAAACTACACTGGGAGGGTTGTAGCACTCTCCATTTTATTTCCATCACTGGAGAGTCTATTGCTATAATTTTTTTTATTATTTTTCAAATAAAGAAAGGATATCAATTACATGTTCAAAAATGCTGAAAACCAATGACATGTAACACCAGATGCTAAAGAATAAAGACATAGACTTACAGGTGTAGATGATATGGTTGATGCTATCAGTAAAGAGATTTAAAGCCCATCTTCTTTTTCATTAGCTAAGCACAAATACGAATAGAATATTTAAATGAATAATGTGAAATTGCTAATGAACACTGGAAGCACAAAGAAATCTCAAATATTTTGGTTTCAATGCTTCAGCCGTTTAAAAATCAAATTCTAAATCCAGGCACTGGTGGCGCACAGCTACCTAGAAGGTTGAGATTTGAGGATCACAGTTCAATGTCAGCCCAGGTGGAAGAGTTGTGAGACTCTTATCTCCAATAACTACTCAGAAAAAGCCATAAGTAGAGCTATGGCTCAAGTGGTAGAACACTAGCTTTGAGCACAAAGAGGCTCAGGAACAGCACCTAGGCCCTGAGTTCAAGCCCCAGGACTGGTAAAATAATAAATAAATCAATAAAATTCTAGGAAAGAAAGACCAGTAGCTTTTCTAGGCATATCCTCATGTAGAGCACAAATGAACTGCATGCTGCATAAGATTAACCTGAAAGTTGCTTAGTTTATTTATGTTTAAATAGACCCCTTACAAGTTGAAAATCCTTATAGGAAGGCAATGATGCCTTATGATACGTCAGCAAAGGATGACAAAGGGTGGCATCCTAGAAAATTAGAAAAGTCACAAAATACTATATCTTTTCTTACCTTCATTATTACTATTTGACCTATCATTCAACTTAGAACTCTTAAAAGACAGGCCTTCTAACAGCTAGCAATACAGCGATGAATGCATGGGGTGCATGTTAACTCCTGTATTCCTGCAACTTCCATACCAACAGGAATATGCATATATATATATGCATACATACATATGCACTTAAGTCACACATATGATACATAACATGTATCATAAGTATATGTCATATATGATATACAAAATACAATATATGTCATATGCGTCAGAAACATATATAACACGATATATACATATAAAGAGGATCCTGATTATATTTATATTTATATGCCTATATTTTAGGTCTAACATCCACATTTGAGGGTAAGCACAAGACTTTTGTCCTTTTGAGCCATTGCCTGGCTCTTAATAAGTAAGAGTTTATTGAAGAGAAAGTAGGTTGCCAAACCCACTCACGTCTTTCTTTTCATATTCCTATATGAATTTAGAGATAAGACACATTTTTCTTTAGTCAAGATGAAAATGAGTCAGGTGGAGAAAGGAAAATCCAAATAGCTTATGTAAATATAACAAAATACATTTTGATATATTCTATATATGAATGGAAATTTCTTTTTCCCCCACCAGATGTAAAAAAGAAAAGTGAAGAAACAACACAAGACCACCTAGAAAACCCCCCAAATGAAGAAAAATGAAGGCTTATCATTTATCAAGCGTGCTGAATTTATGCACATTGAACAACTTAGTGTTTCCTGAGATGTTTGATCTATGACATCTGTGGTAACATGTGTGTTAGATAATTGTGTTGTGATGCTACTCACTTGGATTGTAACTGTGATACCCAGTGTATGCTATTAAAAAGAAGGCTAGTTCTAAATTGCACCCAAGAATGTAGAACCACTTAAGTACATATTATTGTCTTAAACACAACAAAATCCACTGTCCTCTTTGTTATTAATTTGGCTGGATTTACATTTTATGGTGATGGGGAAATATTTCTTGATAATATAAGCTAAACATTACTAATTTAAAATTTTATAAACTTTGTAGGAGATTATATTTTTTGGTGAGAAGGAATAATACTCCAAAAAATTCACATGAATAAAGTGTGTTTATTTTTAACCAAAATTGCACTGGATTTTCCCAAAACGTTAGACGAAAATAACATAAATATCTCTAGGGTGATTTTGTCTGATGTATTTTGCATTAGGTCTGTGCATACTATGATTCTTCATGTTGATCCTTAGAATGTAAAATGTGTAACACATTGCTAACATGAAATATGCCTATTAAATGACACACCGTAACCTGGGTACGTATGTGCCGCGTGTTTTATTTTAATGTGAATCATTCAAAATACCACTTGCCTCATGCTACCTTTTCTTATTCTTTGGGCTTTTGTGTATATGAGTTGTTTCTAAGCAATTTCCTCAGGAATGCAAACCTTAATTTTTATATCATTCCTATAGATAACATAGCAGTAAGCACTTAAAGTATGGAGTGGATCCTGTATACTTTTAATATACATACTTAAGTATCTATTTTAAAAGGAATAAAGACAAACCAAAGCTTTAGTGAATTTTAATTTACTAGATATTTTATGAAAATAATAGAATTCTGTATGTTAAATTTTTGAATAATTTAATGTTCCGCTATATATACACGCACCTATATTTTATTTGATTGTTGACTTAATCTACATCTGTATATATTAACCAAATAAACTTTCCCTCTAAGGAAATTTGTTGATATGTATTTTTCATTCTACTATCTGAAATATTCCAGAAGAAAAATGGTGACACATTTTAAAAGATAAAGCTACCATCATGGCTTTGTAAAACACCTCCTGATTATTATTTTACTGACAAAGCTTATCTTTACATCTTATATGTTTTCTACTGGGGAGGTGGGAGTATTGCTTCCTGGAGGACATTTGGCAATGTCTGAAGATAGTTCTGGCTACCACACAGGTGGAGGGAAGCAGGCAGTGGAGAGGAGGTGCTATTGGCACCTAGTGGAGAGAAGCTAGCCAAGTCACCCATAGCTAAGACTTACTTAGCTGTTCCCCCCACCGCATCTGTGGTACTGCGTTGAGAAACCATGAAGCTGAATCAACCTTTTAGTATGCAGAGATTTGCTTCTGACACACCTGCATGTGCATCAGCTCTGCTACAATGCTATTTGTATGATCTATGGTGCTTTGCATATTTCCAAATTTGTTGTAATCTGGCAGATGGTATTAATAGTCATATCTGTGTTATTAGATGAGTAAAAGCAATGAGCTCAGATGTGCTAAATGCTTGATGAATACCTAACCAAAAAAGTATTCAATAAATATTAGCCATCACCAGAACCGTCACTTCCGATCTTATTGCTTTCATTCTCTGCAGTAGAGGCGGTGGGCAGCTCAGTTTCTTAACTTGTCTGTCTTCTGTATCCATTTGTGACTTCACAAATATGCCTGACGGATGGGGATAGGAGAAGACATTGTGCTAGAAATTGAAAATTCATGGTAATTACTGCATTAATGCCAACTCAATCATCATAATGTGCACTGACAGGTGATGAGCAAGTCATTTCTCTGGGGTTTCTTTTTGACAATGACTGCAACAAAACAATTTAAAGTTAGCATTTAAAGGAATAAAATTTCCCATGAAAATATAGACATTAAAAGAAAGTAACATGAGTTATAGTATCACATGATACTTTTCCATATTTGAAAACTGTACAAAGCAATGTCATTATTACTTCTAATGATATATATATTTATGTGTATACTGAATGGTGTATATTCTCTATCCCATACGCAATACAATGCATGCATAAATGTGTCCCATTATATGCACATGCATCTTGTGTTATATAACAGTGAAAGAATAAAAAGCAATTTTTATATTTTTAATTTTTAATTTTTGATGAGAAGCAGAGACAAAAACATAGAGGTTGCTATAGTTTAAAGACAAAATTGAGTTACCTACTATTGTTAGAAAATCAAGCTATTTTAGTGGAATCTAGGGTACTTAGTTAAACACAACCATCTAGTTGGGACTCATGAAAGGAAGCTCCCTGACTTTTTTTGCTATTGTCTTTATATAAGATGTTTGGTTTAGCTGATAGTTAGAAAGTCTTAATACTTCCAGAAAGCCAGGCTAAAGGGGGACAATAAAGCTCTAAAGCAGCTATCTGAAAACTACGCAAAAGAAGAAAAAGAGCAAAACTAGTCCATTCTGTGTCGTTTGTCCACAGATACTTTTGAGATATGGATGGGAAAGGCTTGAGTCCTATAAGAATGAGAGTAGGTAAGAGGTGGAATCCTTCCTGGAAAAGGAAATAATACAATAAAAATGTAATTCTGTAGCTCCTATAGCTTGGGCATATTGAGCTGGTGATTTGGGGGGTAGGTTGTTGGAAAGAGGAAGGGTGATAGAAGAAAAGGATAGACAGAGGGGGAGGGAAAGGGAGAAGAAAGGAGAGATAGAAAAAAGAAAAGTAAAAGAGAAGAGTGAATAAGGAAAGATATTACCAAAGCCACTACTCTAGTCCTCTGTGGAACTTGACTTTAAAGGACATCTCTTCCATTTGCTCCCATCATTCTGGCTAATTACTTACTGTGTTGCAATTCCTTCAGTGTGTAAAATGGTGAATTATCATGAGGATTAAATAAGTGAATACAATAAATTGCCTGACATGTAACAAAACCATTGTTTATTATTATTATCATTACCATTATTATTCGCCAGAGGATAAGAATATCTTAGATTGCAGGTGCTGGTGGCATGCCTGTAACCCTAGCTCCTCAAGAGGCTGAGATCTTAGAGTTGTAGTTCAAAGCCATCCTAGGCAGGAAAGTCCTCAAAATTCTTTTCTCCAATTGATGACAATAAAAAAAGAAAAAATAAAGAAGCTAGGAGTGGAGATATGGCAGAGCTGGTCTTGGGGTGGGATGAGGGAAGCTCAAAAACAGCACCAAACTCTGAGTTCAAGCCCTAAGACCTGCCCCCAAAATTAATATAATTCTTAGATTTATTTTTTCCATATTATTTACTCACACTGATGTCCCTTTCCCTTTACTCTTTCCTTCCCATTACCATAACTCTTTAGCTAAACTTGGGGCTGTTCAATCAGTGATTTCTACTTTCTTCTGTTATTGATGAGAACTTTCAGAACATCAAAAGTCTACAGCTCATAAATACAGAAACAGTGGCTCAAAACAAAAGGTTGAAGCAAATATTGCTACTACCTGTTAAAAATCCCAAGTGGACTTCTTATTGAACAGACATCAATAGGAATAACTATTATAGCTATATGCTGAGTAATTGGAGATTACAAAGTACATACTAGATTCCTTTGAAGATTCATAAAAGTAATCCTACAAATAAGCTGTTTAACTTCTCATTTCACAGATGAAGAAAATGGATTGAAAAGGTGCTCTTGAGCAGTTACACAAGCAGTGGTCTGGGACAAGGCTCTGGTAGCCAGTATACACATTGCCTTTCTTTTTTTTTTTTTTAATTGTGAAAATACTGCACAGAGGGGCTACAATTACATGGGCAAGATAATGAGTACATTTCTTATCAAGAATTGTAGCCTCCTCCTTTGTTTCCCTGCCTTTCTTGCACCAAAAAGCCACTTTTCCATGATGCTCCATCCATGAGTCTCATTAAATTTATGAATCTTTGGAAAAATTGAAAACCTTTATATGTGGAGAATAGCATATGAATTATTGAGACTAAAAACATGTGACTTTATTTTTATTTGGTCGACACATTCCTTCTATTTATTCAACAGATTTTATATGACACGTTTTGTCACTTTATATGGTAAAAATTTAGATGGCAGAATCTGTCACTACATTTGCCAACACACACACACACACACACACACACACACACACACACACATGCATGTGTGCACCTGCACACACCAGTCCTGAGGTTTGAACTCAGGGCCCGGGCTCTGTCCCTGACATTTTTTCTCAAGGCTGGCACTCTACCCCTTGGCTTTTTTGGTAGTTTAGTGGACATAGGCACAGACTTTCCTGTCTAGGCTGGCTTTAATCCTTGAACCTCAGATCTCAGCTTCCTGAGGAACTAGGATTACCATTGGTACCTGGCTAGACTTTTAAGGACAGTGAAGGAATGGAAAATGGATGAGAACCTCTGTCTCTTGCATGAAAGATAGTGTCTCCACGAAGTAAGGGGAGAAAGTGTTGATGGAAAGACATGCTACCCCCAGGGTTGAGTTCTTTCATATGCTTGTGACTGTAAGTAATCATAAAAAAGGGTCCCCTGATTGTGAAGGTATATCATAGCTTTTATTACTATGACAATCATTTTGCTTAAAAAGAGGAATGCTTGTGTTGGTTCTTAGTTGTGGAAGTCTACAGGACCATGTTCCCATGGCCTGTGGCATCACTACATGGTGGAAGGATTATGTGGTAGAGGAGGCCTGTTGGCCTGAGAGTGACTGGAAAACATATTTAAAAAGGGCTGGATTCCAGTAGTTTCTTTGAGAGCATGATCCCAGGGAACTGGACACGAGGCCACTAGAGCTCAGTTCCTAAAGCACCAATTCCCAGGAGCAGTTTGGGCTAGAGACCAAATCTTCAACACACCGGCCCTTACTGCACATTCAAAATCCAAGCTGTCGTAGAAAGTAATATAAAAGTAATCTGGCATGAGCTTACCATAAACTTTTAACAGTGGAAACTCTGGGAGAATGAGATCATCTCGTCTGCTTCATGTGTACTTCACACGGAGGGCTGTATGGCAAAAATGATGGCAGAGGTCCCTAATGTCCTGTCTCCGTGTGTAGCAACTGAGGCCTGGGAGCTATGCCGAGAGGAAGAAACTCAAAACAAAAGTCCAGCTGCACTTTAGAAGCTGCGGAATCGACAGGAAAACGCTAGTGAAAATTCTCACAGTGGATTAAACATTCTAGGCTTTCCGTTTTATTGTTTTTCTTGAATAAGCATGTTTTATTATATTGCCACATGAAAATCAACAATTAACCTTGATGTTTTTAATGAACCTTTTTACTTTAAAATTTATTTCAATCAGAATACAAATAAAAGTTAACGTTGAATAATAATTTTTAAAAATTTAATGTTATTGTCAAGGTGATGTACAAAAGGGTTACAGTTAGATATGTGAGGTAGTGAGTGTACTTCTTGTCAAACATTGCCACCCCCTCCCTCATTTTTCTCCCATTTTTCCTCCCTCCAGATGTTCCCCACCAAGTTGTAAAGTTCACTTCCAACATACTGTATTGTTATTGTATTGTCCTTTGTCTCAGGTCTCTTCTTTCTTTCTTTATCCCTGATGCTATGAAATTATTGAGGTATGGAGAAAAGGTCCCATATCCTGGCTCTTTATGATTTTTTTTCTTGGTGTTATTTAATTTATTCTTTATCATGCTTTCCTATAACTGAGGAAATTCTAATTGCTTAAATACTCATGTGCAATGTTTTACAGTATACTACAGTATATTACAGTATATTTTGTAGATAAATGACTGCTGACATCAAAATACATTTTCTGAGGGGAAGTATTTTGATGTTGGCTTTTATAATGAAATGGTCATCTGCACTGGATTTCCAACAATGGGTACAATTTACTTCTAAAAGTCTTTCCTTTCTTTAGTATCCTAAAACTCTGGAGAACAATAGAAAAAAGTTGGATATCAATCAGTAAATATGAGTTTGGTTCCAAGATTTTACTTCAATTTGACCAAAAATAAACT